GAGAAGCAGATGGCAGCAGTGATGACGACGACGACGTCGAGTCCAGCGTGGCAGAGCGCTGGTCGAGCGAGAGGGACGAGGACGAGGCTGCTCCCTGGTAGACTGGGTTTCTGATCTGGCTGGACACGCTGCGAGGCGGTGCATGTGCTGCTGCTGATGATGGTGATGATTGTGATTGTGACTGTGCTGGAGTGGTGGTAGTGGTAGTGGTAGTGGTTGTAGCGGTGGTTGGGCGCTGTGCCGCTCCAGCCGAAGCGCTCCCGCCAGTCCGAGCGCCACTACTACTCATGATTGACTATGACTATGACTATGACTACGACTAACACTAGTACTGCTGCTGCTACTATTGCTCAGCACTTGTTTTGCTGGTGGTGGTTGGTGGTTGGTGGTTGGGGTTCCAAACGTCGTGGTTCTTGTTGCTGGCTCGCTTCGTTGCCTCGTTCACTTTCACTTTCTCTTCGGCTCGCTTTTGTCTTCTTCTTTCTTCTTTCTTCTGTTCTTTCGCTTCTTTCGCTTCGTTTTGCTATGAAAATGGCTTCAAAACTCAAGAAAGAAACAAAAGCCGAACAAAACGAAACAAAACAAAAGTCAAAATCGAGACTGAAAACTGAAATAAAAAACCATAACAAAAAGACGAAAGAAAAACGGTGCTTTTTATTCAAAATGCACTTCTTTCTTTTGATCAACAATCGTGATGCTGAGCGACAGGTCGACAGTATTGACTTGTGATGATGATGATGTTGCAATTCAAACTGCATGATTCAGTCGAGTTTCAATCCAATCCAATCCAATCCAGTCTTCTTATTCTATTCGATTCTACTCTTCCTTTTCAATCTTTCGTTCTTCTTCTTCTTCTTCTTCTTCTTCTTCTTGTTCTTCTGCTGCTGCTCATTGTTCCAAATTTCAAAGCAATGCTGCGATCGTCGCTCCCTGCTTCATTGATCACCACAATGACAACCACAGCGATGATGATCATGATGGTGATGATGGTGGTGCTCGTGTCTGGCTCCAATTCCGTCAGCACCACCACCACCACGAGATCACCCTCGTCCATCCCATCCTCTGCTTCCACGGCCGTTTCGTTCCAAGTGCACTCCTTCAATGACCTCCGTGAATGGTAACCTTCAATCAATCTCGCTCTCTCTCTCGCTCTCTCTGTTTGAATGGATTATTCGCGTGGATTGTTTTTTGCCGCGAATTTGCCGCGGTTTTTTTTTTTCTTTTTTCAATTTTCCAACTCAACTCCTCTCATCGACGCTCATCACAAAAGCACAAACACAAAGTGCAGGCAGCTGTTGCACATACAAATGTCAAATACTGTGTGGCTCAACATTCACTCCCGACTGTCTCGTCTCTGTGCAGGCCGCAGACACTCCGCAAGATTGCCTCGAACGGCGGCGGGCCGGGGCAGCACGACCTCTGGCTCAAGGTCGACCCCCACTACATGCCAGAGATCTTCTGTCTGCTGCAGAAGCGTGTCTCGCACCCGTCCGAGGGCTGCCTGGTGCTCAACCACGACGAGCCCGTCGACTGGCGCCCAGCGCCATACAACACCACCGCCGACATTCTCACGCTGCTCGCAGACCCCGCCATCGCCCAGTTCATGCTGGTAAAGCAGTGCTGGCAATATCTATGATTAGGACAGAACTTGTTGGAAAAATCACCTCGAAAATCACCTCACAAACCCCCCCCCCTAAACCCCCGAATCTCCCTTCTGCCAACAACTGAAAAACTATCAACAAACAGCCCCCGCACCGTTTGTTCATCGCGCTGTGCTTCAAGGTCGACATCGGATCGCCGTGCGATAAAACCGAGTATGCAAAGAAATTCCTCGCCCTCGTCGACGGGTTTTTTGCAGACGCAACAGCGTTCATGCAGAAAAACCCGCAATTCCAGCTCGAGTTTGTCTTGGACGGCGCCGGCACGCCGAACGCTGCGCGCACTTGCTTGGCAGAACGCTGGCGCCCGTGGAATGCGACTTGGATTGTCGGGTCGGATCCTCAAGACGCCGCAACCAGCAACAATGCCACCGAGGGTTACGACCGCTTCCTCATCAACAACATGTCCGGCAGCTCCCCCGAAGACGCCAACATGCTCAAAATGCAGAGCATTGCGTATGGAAAGTTTGCCAACGGCACCTACCCTTACTTGTTCTGGGAGCCGTCCGATCAGGCGGACATCCACGAGGTTGTCGCAGCCTACCTTGCCGGCCCTCCGAACGAGCTCGGCCTGCGATTCGCCATTAATATCGATCCCGTCCAGCTGGAAGTCTATGCAGGTGCACTGACAGGCAACGCATGGAACAGCTTCCTGAATCTGACTGGCACGGCTCCGTTTGTCGTTGCGCTGGACGCGCTGGTTGGAGCACCCGGAACGCTTGCGCTCGTCGTCTACACCGATACGGCAACATCCAAGGCCTTTGTCCAGCCGCTTGTGCTCAGCGGTCCTCTCGGAACCGCGTCGCTTTTCGGCCAGCCCATCCCCTTGGCAACCAACGCGAGCTCCTTGCCCTTCTCCAGCGTTTCGGCGACAGTTGTCGCAAAGGCAGGCTACCTGCTGGTCTCTGATGCCCAGTCCAACACGGACGTGTTCCAAGTCGCCGTGTCTGGCGGCCAGGTTGTGCTGACATCCGTTTGGTCGGGACAAGTCACGCCATTCACCACATCCCCGCTTGCTACCGCCCTCGCGTTCGTGCAAAATGCCCCAGAAAGCAGCATTTGGCTTGCGCAGGCGAGCAGCCAGGCCAGTGCCTCTTCCTGCGCCGTTGAGGTGTCCTTGATCGGCTTTGCGCCAAGCTCGCCTTCTCAAGCGGAAATTCTCGTCGCGCAGACATCTTGCGCCGTTCCCTACCTCTTTTCCGGCGAGTCTGTCGTGCATCTCTCTGTGGATGCGCTGGAGGTGGATCCTGCCAACGCCACGTTCGGATTTTGCGAGTCAGGCACTGTGCTGCTCGTCAGTGCCACGACCAACAAGGCCACCACGCATGTTGGCATTGCATGCTTCCAAACTCACCCAGATGGCAGCACCACCTTTGTGGCGGTCGACCACGTTGCGGATGTCGGCACCCAAACGTCCGTCTCGCTGCGCCTCGCCCAAACTGCGTCGGGTGAAACCACGATTGCATTTGCAGCTGTCGCGGCCAACTCGTACTGCTGGAACAATGAAAAGGACAACAAGCGTGGCACGCCCGCGTTGTGTGATTCCACGCCGAGCAGCACAACCGGAGTTCTGTCCTACACGATTGGTTCACTCGACAGCCTTGTGCTGTTTGCGCACCTGGCTGCGGCCGATGCTTCGATTTCGTCGTGTTCACCCTACGGCGACCTCAAGCATGGCATGTACGACATGGGATACGCCCCATCCGCTTCGCTGTTTGTGTCGTCGTCCTCCCGTGCGCTCGGCATTCTCGAGTTGCATACAGGATTGAATGGAGACGAGTCTGATTCTGGCAACTGTGGCCTTGCTCTTCCTCACAAGGGCCAACTAGTTCTTGATGGGTTTAATTTGCGATGGGAATGATTGTTTCGTCCCACTCGATTGCACGTATTGTTACTTTGGCGCTCTTTGTAATTCGAGTACTAGTATGTATTCAAAGAACCCGACGACACGTCACAACATGAACAGATCGAGCAAATTGCCATGAATGAAATACGTCGAAAATCGAAAAAGGAGAGATTGATGAAGCAGAGAGTCACCTCACGTCACACAAGAAACAAAAAACAAAATAATAGTAAATAAAATGAAAAAAAATCAAATCTTCAATGCTGTATGTGTACAATATTACATTCATCGCCCAAGCAAAAAGTGCATAATGTCGTTCGGCTGCACAATGTAGCCTTTTCCTTCAGATCGCATCTTTCCTGCCGCCTTTACGGCGGCCTCGGTTTTGTATTCTTCGAGATCTGCCACAGAGTAGGTTTCTGCCTTGATAAACGTGCGCATAAAATCGGTATGAATGCGCCCAGCCGCGGCGACCGCCGTCGAGCCTTTCAAGATGGACCAGGCCTTAATCTCCTGCTCTCCGGCCGTGTAAAACGACTGGAGTCCAAGAAGATCGTACACCCGACGGGAAATGACCGAGCCTGCACTTTCCGCCATGCCGAGTGATGAGAGCAGCTCGAGCCGCTCTTCCTTTGACTCGACCTCGAGCAAATCCATTTCAGTCTTGACGCAAACGGGAATGACGTCTCCTTTGGCTTTCACCGCGTCGATTTGAGGAATCTGGATGTCCATCAACAAGCGATTGAGACATAAAGACAACACAACGGCAAATCGGTTCAAATCAGCATTAAAAAAACAAAGCAGAACCAACAACAACTGGGCACCTACCGATCTCCCGCTCGCCAACTCCATTGCCTGAGATTCGTCCACGTTTGCAATATAAATCATGGGCTTGACAGTGAGCAACTGGCTCGCGCAGGCTTGCAATACGTCGCGCTCTTCCGGTGTCGGCAAAGTGCCGAGGAGCGAGCGGATGGGCTTGCCGTTGTTCAGCCACTCGAAGGCACGCTGCATCAGCGCATCAATGTCTGTCTCGCTCAATTTGAGCGTCCCGACGGTGGCCTGTGGGACGCTGGCGAGCCAACTCCGCTTTCCCGGCTTGGCCCGTGCGAGCATGCGCTCCATTGTCTGCAGGTCTGCGAGGACGAGCTCCATCTCGATCGTCTCTAGGTCGCGCAGAGGGTTGACTTCGCCATCGACATGCGTGATTTCGTCGTCTGGGAAGCAGCGGACGACGTGCATGAGCGCATCGACTTGGCGCACATGGCTGAGGAACTTGTTGCCCAGGCCAGCGCCCTGCGACGCGCCCTTGACCAGTCCCGCGATATCCACAATGCGGACCTCGGCCTGCACGACGCGCTGGGTCGCAATGTGCTGCGCGATCGTCGCGAGCGCCTTGTCGTCCACCTTCAGCACCCCAAAGTTTGGATTGATGGTGCAGAACGGAAAGTTGCTCGCCTCCGCGTTCAGTCCGCCGCTCAGCGCGTTGAACAGCGAGCTCTTGCCCACGTTCGGCATGCCCAGAATGCCGACCTCGAGCGAGCGTACGGACGCGGATTTGCTCGATGCAGAGGAGGAGGGTGATCCTGCGGCGCTCAGAGATTGCGACGCCTGGGTGTGGAGCGCTGCCATTCTCGATCCTGCTCTTGCTCTTGCTCTTGCTCCTCCTGCGACTGCTCCTGCTCGCAGGGACAGGCAGTGCGGCAGACGCATCAGCAGCAGCGGCATTGTGTCGAGTCGCCGCGGGAGCAGCATTTTGATGAAGCTGAACTGTCTCAGAAAAAACAAGAAGAGAACTGAGCGTCGCATGTCATCTTCCTTCATTTGGATTGCTGTCAAAATGCTGTACTCTATTCAATCTCACCTTTCGCTCGCTCGCTTGCTTGTTCTATCGATTTGGCACTGCTGAAGCAGCAAGAAGTCGCAGGATGGTCACAGCGTGCTTGGATCTATGAGTCGCTGTATGTTGGACATGTCTAACAATCAGACTCTCGCTGCCGTTGCTCGCTACGAACATGAATTACGAGCGCGAATCTGGAAAGAATGAAGGCTAAGAAATGGAGTCGGTTTGGCATTTGAGTCTGCTTTTGGGAAGGTGCCAGTCCTTGTTAAGCTGTTGAAGACGATGCAAAGCAAGACTGAAAGACAGCGAGAGCTGTATGACAAATTCAAGAATGCGAATGGAGGGCTCTAGTAAGAGAAAAGCCCGAGTCCATTGAAGCAGCGTGACAGCGCGAGTGTGTGTACTGACGAGATGGACAGTCTGAGTGAGAATCAGATTGGTGATGCTGAAGCGCAAATCATTGCCGAGGCGCTTAAGGTGAACACGACGGCGACTTCGCTCGAGTAAGCTGAATCTTATTGACTGATGTGTGTGAGAAGGTGATCAAGTAGAAGGGATTAGGAGTGCTCGCTGACGGAGGGGATGGACAGTCTGAGTGAGAATCAGATTGGCGATGCTGGAGCGCAGGCGATTGCTGAAGCACTCAAAGTGAACAAGACGCTGTTTTGGCTCAAGTCAGTCATTTCGCATCTACTGGTGCATGAGAGTGGGTGATTCAGACGAGTGCTCACTGACGGAGGGGATGAACAGTCTGCATCAGAATCAGATTGGCGATGCTGGAGCGCACGCGATTGCTGAAGCACTCAGAGTGAACAAGACACTGAAGGAGCTCTCGTAAGGCAGCTTCTTTTGACTGATGCATGTGAGCGGGTGATGCAGCACAGAGCAATAAGAATGCTCACTGGCGGAGGAGATGGATAGGCTGGCTCAGAATCAGATTGGCGATGCTGGAGCGCAAGCAATAGCTGAGGCACTCAAAGTGAACAAGACGCTGACTCTGCTCAAGTATGTCAATTCGCATCTACTGGTGCTTATGAGTGGGTGTTAAAGTCAAATGTATTAGGAGTGCTCACCGATGGAGGGGGTGGGATGGACAGTTTGATTGTTAATCAGATTGGCGATGCTGGAGCACGAGCGATTGTTGACACACTCAAAGTGAACGAGACGGTGACTTCACTCCAGTACGGCATCTCACTTTGACCGATGCATGTGATCAAGTAGCAGGTATTAGGAGTGCTCACTGACGGAGGAGATGGACAGTCTGCATGATAATCTGATTGGCGATGCTGGAGCGCAAGCAATTGCTGATGCTCTCAAGGTGAATAAAACGCTGTCTTGGCTCAAGTAAGTCAATTCGCATCTACTAGTGCTTATGAGTGGGTGATCAAGTAGAATGTATTAGGAGTGCTCACCGACGGAGGGTGGGATGGACAGTTTGATTGATAATCAGATTGGCGATGCTGGAGCACAAGCGATTGCCGAGGCACTCAAAGTGAACAAGATGGTGAAGACTCTCTCGTAAGGCATCTCACTTTGACTGATGCGTCGTAGTGAATGATTCAACAGATGACGCAGAGTGCTCACCGATGGAGGGGGATGGAACAGTCTGAGTGAGAATCAGATTGGTGACATTGGAGCGCAGGCAATTGCTGAAGCACTCATGGTGAACAAGCAGCTGTGGTGGCTCGAGTAAGTTGCTGTGCGCTTTGCTTTGCTCGTCTCGCTCATTGAGCCAGGATCAGACATACCTTGCTCACCCTTTAAGCGATAGTCTAAAATGCAACTGCATTGGCGATGCTGGTTTTCAAGCGATTGGTGAAGCGCGTCAAGTCAACCGAACTCTGGCTCACCTTTTGTTCGTTGTTTGTCCGAACGATTTGTGCTCCAACCAAAGGAGTCGCCCTGCTGAGTGCTCATTCACTTTGCTTGTTCGTGCGCAGGATCGACAAGCAGATCAACCCTCTTGCATTCTCCTTGCTTCCACGAATGTCAACTGCTGAAGACCTTCACGACGTATTTCACTTGCTGACCAGCGAACCAGCGGTGGAGGATCAATCGGCAGCTCTGCCCGCACTACCAACCGAGATTGCCGAGCTCATTTTGGACGAAGCGCACTACTGGCAAGGCGTGCAGCACACCAAGCGACAATGGTTTCAGTATCATTCCCCTGAGTGTATTCTGAAAGTCACACTGCCTCAAGGCGTCAATGGGAATGCAATCCGTGTGAAAGAAATTCACGTGCTTCGTGGCAACCGTTCTGACAGCGTCAATGACACCGGCTTTGAATTGATTGTCCAAGATGAGCAAGGCGCTGTTCGATACGAATGCTCGGTGAAACCGACCCTCGTCGATTCGAGCCTCGAGTTAGTGACAATCGTGCCAGCGAGTCATCTTGTCATCCGACAAATGCGCGCGGGTTGGCAAGTTCAAGTTCGACCCAGCAAGTTTCACTACAATGTGGTGTTTGAATCGCTTTATGTTGGCTATGTCTGACGACGATTTTTGGAATGGTTGATACAAACCGCCTACTTGTTCGAATCGATTGAATATTCCGTATAGTGCTCGGGCAAGGTTGATTCTCAGAGACGAAAGAGCCTCGAAAGAAGAGGTTAAAATGCAAACAGCTCGTAGCATCGGCGCTGAATTATTCACTCGTGGTTGATGATGTTACAACGCGCACCCGCTTGTGCCTGGAAGACCCAAATGTATCTGAGTCGCATTGCGGATAAATTGGCACGAAATCCAACCAGAAAAACAAGAAGAAGAAGCGAAAGAAGAAGAAAAAAAAGCAGAAAGAGGCGGGAACTCAAGACGAAAGCATACAACGACGACTGCAACATCCCTTGACCGCAAAAAAAAAAGAACAGAAAACAAAATCAGTGCTCGCACAGCGAAAACGTACGCTCAAACACCGCGTCGGTGTTGACCGAGACAAAGAGCTTGCGCTCGTCCATCAGCGTCTTGCGGTGCTGCTTGGCCTCCTCGAGCCCCATCGGCCAATCAAGGCGATCCAGAATCTCGTCAACAAGCTCCGGGGGGATCGTTGGCGGGAAGATGGGCGTGCTCAAGACTTCTTGCATGTACCAGCTGCGCTGCTGTGGGGGAATGTGCTTGGTCGACGGAATGCGCTCGTGGGGATCAACCAAGAAGAAGACCAGAATCTTGCGCGAGCCAGGCTTGGTCGGGTCCAGGAGTTGGAACGAGCGCACGCGGTGCTGCATCGTGTTTGGGAAGACAATGCAGCGATTGTCCTTGGTCGCGATGCCGCCCAGCGGCTGGTTCAGCTCGTCGCCATCTTCCAGGCCGTAAACCTTGCGGATGCCATTGTTGTCGTTTTGCTGATAGTCGGGCTCGCTAACGCTTTGGCGGAAGTCGAGGTTGGACTCGGTGATGTTCTCCTGCTGGTAGTAGTAGATGCCAGACGCAACAATCTTCTCGTTGCGCATGCCCTCGACGTGCCAGGAGCCGCCCTTGTAGGTTGGGTTTTTCGGGGTCAGGCAAATGTTGGCCAGCTTCACAATGACCTGGAGGGTGGTACCGCGCAGGTCGAATGGAGGGAACGCGTCGTCGGCGTTGGGCGGTTGGTACTTGGCCGGCTCGGGCATGGTGAAGATGCCAAAGTATGACTCATCCTCGTCGTCCTCATCGTCCTCGTCGTCCTCGTCGTCCTCGTCGTCCTCGTCGTCCTCGTCGTCCACATCTTCCCATGCGTCCTCGTCGTCGTCGTCCTCGTCGTCGTCGTGCTCATCTTCCCATGCGTCCTCGTCGTCGTCGTCGTCGGCGTCGTCGTCGTCGTCGTCGTCGCCTCCCGCGGCGCCCGGAGCAGGAGCAGTGGCAGGAGCAGTAGTGGGGCGCTGGCGACGCTCGCGCGGACGATACCAGTCGCCGGGCTGCACACGGAGATGGCTCTTGTCTTCTTGCTTGAGCATCGCGGTCAAAGTCAGATTGAACAGCGGAACAAACTCTTCAAAGACGCTGGCGAGCACAGGGTAGAGTTCGGCGTGCTCGACGGGGTGGAGGTTGTTAATGTAAGACTCGATCGTGACACGACCATCCTTGGCGACTCGGAATTCACTCGGCAACCACTGGCACTGGGTTGACACGTTATAGTCGTCGTACTCTGGGGGAGGGGGCACGGGAAGGATTTCGCCACCACCGACCGAACCAAGCGCCTCGACGATCGGCTTGGTGGTGTGGCGCGTACGCCCATAGACGAGGCAGAACAAGGACGGATGCACAAGATCCAGGACCTGGCGATCGCTTCCCGGGTGCCAGTCCTTCAGGTGCTCGGGCACGTCCTCGAGGCGAGCAACTCCAGCAATCAGGCGTTGGCGCAGCTCGTCCGACACGAGTCCGTCCGCCTGGAACGTGCCGTCGACAGCAGCATGCTCAATCTTGCCGCCATGCTCCTGCTTGAACTTGGCGTACTCCTTGAGCTCCTCAAACACGTAGTCGAGCATCTTGGACGTGACCAGCACCTCTGTCGAGGCGTTGCTGGCCTCCTTGCGCCACTTGGCGACAATCTTGGGGTCGCTGATCTTGGTCTCCCAGTTCGGCTTGATGCGGACGGCGGCGCTCATCTGGAGCATGGTCAGCTCGACCAGCGTCTTGGGCGGCACGCCGTCACAGTAATCGTACTCGAAGAAGACGTCGGGCAGCTTGCCGCCGAGCACCGGGGCCGCGCCGAACAAGTGAGGGAGTCCGCACTTGTACGGCACCATGGCTTCTGACGTTTGCATGCAGGAAGATGGAGCGGAGGAGAGGAGAGGAGAGAAGAGGGGTGCAGATCCAAAACAAATCCGTTCGTTCTGAGATCACACACAGCGACGACAGGAGTGGCACGGGAAGACGATCGGAAGATAGCCACACACACACACACACACCCTCACTCATTCACACACACACACACAGGGCGTTTTGCTTACTTGCAGTCCTATACGGCGAGTCAGCTGATGTTGGCATTCTTGGTTGCTTTTTTTTTTTTTTTTTTTGTCTTTTTCAAAATTTCAAATCCAAAAGAAAGCAAATAAAACAAAAAAAGGAGTGACTTTCAAAAAGTCTGAGCGTGAAAATGGAATTGGAAAAATGGAATTGGAAATGTTTGAATGTCGGTGATGAATGAAACTGCGAGTTTTACTGTTAGAATCGAGTACAAGCGTCGAAGGAAAAGTGGGAAACCGATCATCTTAGAGTTCAAATGCTGGGATTTGTTTGTGTTTTGTCAAAGTCATGTCGTCGAGGATGGAAGTGCGTTTCATCATCGAGCTCGCGAACTGCACTTCCCCCGAGATGTGTTGACCATCGCCGCTGTGTCGTGCAGTCCTGTGGGTGGTTGGTTGGGTGACTGATGCACGCGAAGAGTCTGTTCGTCTACTTGCTGGCTGTCTTGTCGTTTGAACAATACAATTTGACTCTGTGCATTGTCTCTCAAAGTGAATCAGAGTGTGCTCACTCTTTGTTATTTATTGCCCCTCTTTCCTCATTTTCTCAGAAACGCATCCACAGCAAAAATGGAATCCGAGCTGAATCCTGCAGCTGATTCTGGCGTCGACGCTGAAGTGCAAGCGCGCTTCGTCACGAGCGACAAGCGCTACACTGTGACTGACAAGCCGTTTGCAGTGCCCACCCGGCTCAAGCGCTACGGCCTGAGCGAGGTCATCAACCACCTGCTTGGCCTTGGTACGGAAGCAGAAGCGAGCGATTGAGCGAGGCTAACCCCCGTCCCCCTTTGCACCCCAACCCCCATCAGTGATTCTTGATCTTTTCTAGTAAAGTCGATGCCAGGCATTTGGGGTGGTGGTGGTGCTGTGAGGGATACGCGAGACTGAGGACAGCACACATGTGGCTGCATTGGGACCGACCTCCCAGTGCGCGCCGCATCCAGACCGCGATTGGCACTGCGATTCTAGTACCAACGGCGTGCTTCATCTGCACCAAACGGGAGAAGGGGAGGAGAACTGGGTTGGCTGGGGCTGTGGCGCAGCCGCTCTCACTCGCTCTCTTTCCACGTGGAGAGGAGAACGACGGCGGCTCGCTCCAGCTGCACCACTCATCATCAGCACTCTGCTGCTTCCAGTCGGTGCTACCACGTTCGGCTGCAGAGCCACGGCACCAATGCACTCCCTTCAAGAACCGGGTCGACGGTCCCGTTTGGTCGCGCGATCGGCGTTTTGCTCAATGCTGGAGACTGCCAACTGAGCGATCGTTGTTGCGCACTTTCCATTGACTTGCTTTTTGTTTCCGACATGCACATGCACTTTGATGATCAACCGTTTGCTCACTGTTCTTGCTGTGTCGCGAATTGTAGCGTCGCCGCGTCCCTTTGACTTTCTGATTGACGGCCAGTTCTTGCGCACTTCCCTCGACAAGTACATTGCCGAGCATGCCTTGTCACGAGTAAGCAGTCAACTGACATTTGCAATGCCGAGGAGCTGAGAGCAGATCGATGGGGCTATTGTGTCGCTCAAAATCTCCTCTGTGTTCACAGGAAACCATTCTTGAAATCGAGTACTGCGAGGCCGTCCCGCCGCCGGCTCCGCTTCACTCGTACGAGCACGAAGATTGGGTCAGCTCCATCTCGTTCGTGAGCCAGGCTGGGTAGGTTTTTCGCGCTCGTTGCTTGTTGCTGATTTTTTCAACAACAGGCTTTTGTGGGCAAAAAATTTGGGCACTAACCCCCTTCTCCTGCTTCTGACGGTTGGAACCGATAGCCTGTTCTTGACTGGTTGCTACGACGGCGCGTTGCGCGCATGGAACCAAGGTGGCAAGTGCATCGCCGTTTTCGCAAAGCACACTGCCCCGATCAAGTCCACCACGCTCGTCCGTGATACTCGTAGCGGCGAGCCCGAGTCTGACAAGCAGGTTTCCCTTGTTTCTGCGTCCATGGATCATACGTTGTTGGCATGGAAGGTACAGTGGCAATGCTGCTGCGAGGCTGCTGCTTTTGGCTTTGTTTTGAATAACATCCTGACTGACTGATCAATTGTTGGCAGTTGGACGTGTCTGCAGCATCTTGCTCTGCTGATATTGCCTACAAGCTGGCCGGCCACACTGAATCTGTTGATGTTGTCGACTCACATCCCGACGCAGCTTTCGTACGTTGGAAATCAGCGTTTTTGGTTCTTTGACGCTGCTGGCCACGCCAACTCAATCTCTATTGGCTTTTTTTGGCGGCTTGCAGGTGTGCTCGGGCTCCTTTGACAAGACCATCAAGTTGTGGACACTCAAGGCAGGCGTTGCTGAAGAAGCGCCTGCCGCTCCAGTGAGCAAGAAGGCTCGGTTAGCTCAACCCCAACCAACACACATTGTCAAAGTATGTACAACACCTAAAGAGTTGAGTGAAGCAGCTGGTTTCGTCTGGTGATTCTCCGACTTCTCACTCTTCTGTCCTCTTTGTTATTAGTCTGCACTTTCAACCCTTGTCGGCCATAACGATGCAGTCACTGGCGTTGCATGGCCCTCCAGCAATACGATTCACAGTGCTAGCATGGACTGCTCTGTCCGTGCTTGGGATGTGGAGACTGGTCGCAATAAGGCAACCATGGTAGGTCGTTCCTCCATTCACATTGCGCTGAAACGTCGCCTGTGACTTGTTACTGACACTTTTTTTTTTCCCCTGACCTCTTCCTCCCTTCAGAATGGAACAAAGGCCATTTTCGGCATGGCATCCACATCTAGTGCCACGTCAGAGCTGATCATCACTGGCCACGCTGACGAGGCCATCCGTGTCTGGGATCCCCGCGTCCAAGGTCAGTTGCTCGTTTTGAGGCTTTTCATTGTCATTTTTGGTGCCACCGACGCTCACCCCCGATTGCTTCATTTTTCAAACACTGTTGCAGACGGCGTTGTCGTCAAGTTGACGCTCCGCTCGCACAAGGGAATCGTCTCGTCATTGTCGTGGGCGCCTGGATCCCAAACGCAATTTGCGACTGGCTCGTACGACAACACTGTCAAGCTCTGGGACTTGCGAAGCCGCACTCCGCTGTTCACCATCGCCGACCACACTGATCGTGTTTTGTGCGTCAACTGGGCCGCGAGCGATCTTATCGGCTCTGGCTCTGTGGACAAGACCCTTCAACTCAAGCTGCTGCGCAGCTCCGACACTGCTGTCGCTGAAAACGGCACCAGCGCCACCAAGACTAGCCAGCCAATGGACGTCGATACTACTGCAAGCAAGCCTGCCTCCAAGAGCAAGGTTGCTACTCCCCGTCGTTAATTTCCATGAATACAGTGATTTTGTTTTTCTCAGGTTTTTGTTTTCAATCAGCTTGTTTCAGCAATGCTTCCACGGAGAAAACTGTATTAATTTCCTGAGCCATACGATACTTTGACCTCGGGGGGAAGGCACAAAACCAGGCACTTAGGGTGGATTGAGGCTGCTGACAAGGTTTGCGATTTCCGCTTCAGCAGCATCGGGTGAGTCTGGACGGCGCCTCTGCAGTGCATCGACCACCGTCACTGGCGGCGTTCTCAGAGGTGGAATGTTGGACGTGACCTGCGCAGGCTCAATGTGGAACGCTGGTGGTGGCTCTGCTACAGTGTGCGCGAGTGTCGGCGGGAGGTACTGGCCAAATGTCTCCATGAAGGCAGCGCGAGTGTCCTCTTCGCGCATGACCATCTGCTCGAGCGCAAGGTTGATGCGCTGTACAACCTGCACCTGGCGGGCCAGCTCCGCGCGGCGCCTGGGAAGCTCGATTAACAAGGCGTCGTAGCCCGCAGCAAAGCGCCGGTACCAGTCGACGAGCTGCGCAATCTCATCAATCATCTCCTGGCAATGCATGGTCTGTTGGCGAAACCCTTCTGCCAGCATCTCCAAACTATTGAGCGTCTCGCCGAGATATGACCCGCCAAACGAGTCAATCTCTGTCAGCAAGGAGGTCAGAGCTTGATTGGCGTTTCGCACGCGCACGCCGAGGTTTTCGATTGTGGTGCTGCTTGCTTTGAGAGTAACAAGAGCTGTCTCGATCTGTCCATTGGAGTAAGATTGCAGGTGTCAGGACAACAGTGAGCGATTCGCAAAATCACGAAAATTTCAACAATCCAAGCCCCTCTTAGCGCAATTTACCGCTGAAAGCATCTCGGGCACTTGGTCCACTTGCGCTGCAAGTTTGCTGACCGTATCAGCGTCCGAGGTGTCGACAACACCTGGAATGTACCGAGCAGACGCCAGAGTTTGCTCATCGGAGACGTTCCGGCAAATGTTGCGCACTTTGAGCACCAGAGTGGCGATTTCAGCCAGGATTTGCTGGGCGCGCTGCACGGCGTGCTCGACTTGAGACGGTTGCGCTTTTGTTCCTGGCGACGAGGAGGCAGAGGTCGCATTGGCCAGGGCGATGGATGCGTCCAGATGAGCGTCCGACCGGCTCGAATCAGACCCTAGTTGTAGCGTTGTCGCTGCTACGACAGCAGCAGCAGGTGTAACGGAGGCATCTGAAGCGGCGGGCACTGCAGAAGACGATTGCTCTGCAGTTGGCGATCGTGCGGTGGACGCGCTGGCAATATTCACGGTCGACGCGACGACGGAAGAAGCCGTGCTGAACGACGCGGATAGGCTGGAGGGCCCACTGCCCATCGGCCCAGTCACCGCTTTGTGCGCCTCGGTGGCACGCAGCGTGGACGCTGCATGCTGGCGCAACAGTGTCGTGAGCGCTGCTTCGACTTGCTCGTACACACTGCGCCACTGGTTGACAACGAGGAGCAGGCCGTCCAAGCGTGCCTCGAGCTCGCGCTGCAAGCTCGCCACCGACTCCATGTCCACAAAGTCCTTCAATGTCTGTGGGTTTGCCGATGATGGCGAAAGCGGGAGCCGCACATCCTGCTGAGAGATTCCCAGGTTCATCGATTCTGCTATTGCCTGCTCCAGCGGCACCTGCACCTGCAGCTTTTCGTCCAGAGCCTGAACAGGTTTCCGAGTTGATGAGATGGTTGCAAACGAACAAAACAAGCGAGATGACAATCCGAAACACATCCGCGCCAAAATCCGCGCCAAAAATCCACCAACAGTGCAACAACAACAACAACCACGACTCTCTCCTCACCTTTGATTGCAGCACAGTGAGAATGTCTGCGAGTTCGTCGTAGACTCGATCGCGGCGCTCTGCCAGCGCGTTGTACTCGTTGCCAAGACTGGCTCGCTTGTCGTGCAGCTGCTCGACAACCGTGCGCAGCGTTCCCATCTGCTGGTCTGCGCCCGTGATGACTTGCATCAGCTTGCTCGCATTCGCCTTCAGCTGCTCGGCTGACTGCACGCACTGTGGGTGAAGACAGACCAAAAATCCAGAGAAATGACATTGACAATGCCAAGTCAGCCAAAAATCCAACCATTCGCATTCGCATCGCATTCGCATCGCATCGCGTAGGGACCAACGCGCGTCGTGATGTCAGAATCGTGTTGACCACATTCGAATGGTTCCGCTGGCCTGGTCTGGCCAAGGCGAAGGGGACCGCGCTGCTGGATGATGTCAGGTCGCTCAAACATTATCACAGCGGCCGCCCGACCACCTGGCTCCACCACCATGGAACAACCAGCCCCACGCCGAGCTCAGTGCGCTTGGTGTGGATGCGGCAGGTGGCGTTGGTGGTGGTTTTGGTTTGGGGTGGGGAGGGCCCCAATTCTCAATGCAGCCTCGCCCACTGCTGCTCCCCGTCATTGTTCTCATCACAAACATCTCGTCCTCACCTGGAGGAGCTCCCGTCGCGCAGTCTCGAGATGACGCTCGCTGTGGCTGAGATGCTGCGTTGCTCGCTGATCGAGCTCGTCCAGCCGCGAGCCGCCAGACATGTCAATTGACGGTTGCTAAATTAAGCAAGTCTGAGCACGGGGCGGTCAAAACAAACGTGCTCAGCGTCCAACACCTCGCACACAAAAAGCCGCAACGAAGGATTGAAGAAAAATGACTGAGAAGAATGAATGAGAAGAATGACTGAGATTTTGCTGCTGTATTTTCACTTGGAAAGTCCCAAAACGGGAACGACGACAAACAAACTAGGCTCGCTCAGCGCGGCAGCATGTCGTCCAGATCGGCAATGACATAGGCGTACACGGCCCAGACAGCGGCGCAGAGATCCAGCTGGATGCGCGAACACACACACACACACACACAAAAAAAAAAAAAAGTCAGCAACTGCTGATTTGTCACAACTCGACAAAGCCAGCCAAATCCATACCGCAACAGGATCTTCGACAGTCATGGTGTCGCCGCGCGAGTGGTGGAAGTAAAAGTAGTCGTCGTTGTCATTGTGCAGACTGGCACCAGGAACGCCTGAAAGAGAGCAAAAAAGCAAATGTCGAAAAGTCAGAGAACAATCGACAACTTGCGAGCATGTGAGCAGCTGTTCACCGTACCAGCATTCATAAACGGGGCGATATCTGTGCCCTCGCCGTCAGGGAAGACGCCTACAAAAATACCAAAGCCCACAGATGAGTCGCTCGACGTTGTCGTCATCCAAACGGGTTCCCTTTGAAACAATCAAAACAAAGGCAAATCGCGTACCGGTGGCGTTTGCGTTGACGAGCAGCTGGCCAATTTGTTGAATGATGGCAGTGGCAGCCGGAGAACCTGTTACAGTGCGCAGAAAAAAAACCCCTGAGAAATCAGACGAGATAGACAAAAGCCACTGCGCATGCCTCAATTGCCCCTTCAGTTACCAGTAAACTCAAGGCCAGTGGGAGTAAAGGTTCCAAGATCGGACTCCATGACAATGGAATAGTTGCCAGTGTTGTTCGCCTGAGAGTTGTAGTATTGCTGCGAGCCTGCGCACATTTCCAAAAGTGAGAGTTGGTTTTGTCATCATGGCTTGCCTCACAAAAAAGCTACAACCCCCTAAAAACATAACCTTACCAACACCGCCAAACTCCTCGCTCGTCCAGAGCAAGGCGCGCATCGTGCGCTTGGGCTTGAGTCCAAGAGCCTTCACCACCGAAAGCGCCTGCCACGAGATGATTGCACCGCCAGCATCGTCCATCGCAGCCTCTGCAATATCCCACGAGTCCAAGTGGCCAGACACAAGAACGACCTGCTCAGGGTGCGTGCTGCCAACCACCTCGGCGACAGTGTTGCGCGACAACGTGTCGTTCAGGTTTTGAGCCTCCAGGTAGACCTTGAGCACAATGCGCTGACCGCGCGCATGCATGCGTGCCATCATCTCGGCATCTTCGATCTGCGCATGAAGGGAAGGTGTGTCAGAACAGTGCAAACCAAGAAACAAGACCACAAAAGAGAAGAAGAACAATCAAGCCATGCAAAGTCATCGATCGCAGAGCCTCCGATGATAGAACGCACCGTAATGCACGCGGTAGGAATCTTGGGAATACCGTCAGTGTAGAACTGCACACCAGTGTGCGGCGAGTAGATGGAGAATGGAGCGATGGTGCGAATGAGGGAAGCGACACCGCCGACCTTGGCAGCAGCAGAGGCACCCTGGGTACGGTAGACGGAAGTTTCGCCGTAGCTGACAAAGGGCTGGTTGAAGACGACAATCTTGCCCTTCGCCTCGGCCGAGCGATTCGTGAGCTCCTCGAACGAGGACACGACAATGGCTTCGGCAGTGATGCCCTGCGGCCCAGTGCCAACGCTGCTTCCGAGCGAAAGAATGTTCATGGTGAAATCGTGGGGCTCAAGCAGCTGGACGTATTCGGCACCACGGACCCAGTGGGGGATCCAGGCGGGCTCGCCGTGGACGTTGTCAAGGCGATCCGCCTTCAAGTTGCCGAGCATCATGTCTGTGATTGAGAATCAGTTGAGTGAAATCAGTGTTTCAGTGTTTGTTTCGTTCCAGTAGGATTACTAATGCAAGCGCGCTCGTTCGTTTACCAATAGCACGCTCAAGCGAAGCAGAGCCGCTGGGACGCGGGCCCACCGTGTCGACGAGCGAGGCAAGGCGAGTGTACGTTTGACCTTGACCGGGGCCCTTGGTAAAGTAGTCAATGATGCGATTTGCGTCGTCTACAAGGAACGTTGAGGAGCATGTGAGTTTTTTTGACAGGTTGATGGGTTGAATTTGTGCTCCATCAATTCGAATTCGAGTCAGTTTCGACAACGCTGTAATGTGTGTTCCATTGTCGTCGAATTGGCTCAGACTTGTGCCATTGTCATTTTCGCCGTGAATCGTCATTTCGACTGCTTTTGGTTGGCTGCTGGTTTTTTTGACTGCATCAGAATTGAGTGACCACCCCCAATGCAACCCCAAGCCAAGCCAAGGCCAACCCCAGCCAGGGCACATGTAGTGCAGCGATTCATTCATTCATGCGTCAAACGCGACTTGTGACGGGAGCACACAGAACGGCGTGCAACGGTGTGTGGCAGATTGTGTGGCTGTCGGAGTTGGATGGCCTGTCCACAGCACAGCACGGCACAGCCCAGCCCAGCCCAGCACAGGACTCACCTTGGTGGTCGCGGATCTGCTGGACGATGCGCTCTGGCAGGACGTACGAGCTCGGCGGCAGTGGCTTTGCGTTCGGATTGGGATCTGCGACAGACCAACAGACCGACGTGTGTGAGCCCAGAATTGGATTGCCAAACAATCACGCTCACAGGGACAAAGGAGAAAGGTCTTCTCATAGGACATGCGGGGGGCTGTGTCTGCCATACCGCGATCGCCAGAACAGGCAGTGGCCACACTGGCGCACAGGAGCAGCAAAAGCAGCGCAGCAACTGATCGCATTGGAGACAAAAGAGAGAACGGCAAAATGAGAAAGAGAGGACTGACGATTCAACTCGGTGCGATTCTGTACTGCAGTAGGTCGATTTGATCGATAGCGGTCAAGGTGACTTGATTGGTGGATACCTGATGATGATAATGATGACATGGCGTGCTGGCAGGGTCCTGAAACTCGTCTGCTTGCGCCGAATTAATTTGCCATGTCTTGCGCCACAAGTTTTCTACTTCTGGTCCTTGCGGCTGTTGCTGATCGCAGCGAAAAGAGCTGACGACACTCATGCTGCTTGTCCGCTGTCACTTCCACGAAAGCCGCCTTCAACCCCGACGGAAAGCTCGGTAGTTCATATCAACGAGAATCCAAACCGATTGAACAAACAGCACATTTTGTTTTGTTACAAGAGCAGCGGCACGATCACTCATCAGAGCTCATCACGATAACTGCAGCACTTCTTTCGCATACATGATCTCAAAGCCGCCGATCGTCTTGTCGCTGGCATAGACGGCGACAATGTCGTCCGAAATGTAGCGCTGCTGAGAAGAACAAAAGTCTTCCACGAAGGAAAGGTTTAGCAGGTCTGACTCCTTGTAGTAGGAAGGCTTGAGAGAGAGGGCCGGTTTGTTTGTTTGAACTTTGGCGTATGGCATCACAAATGGCAGCCGAGCAGTGGCGTTGTAGATGGCAATGATGTGAACTTTGTCATCCTGGCCGAAAATCAGCTCCACATCTCCGTCATCGAGGCGCTCGCGGCGAGCACCGGCCATATCTTCACATGGGACTAGAGAAAAAACAAGGGAGAACATGTCGTGGGAGCTGCAAAAGCGCGCCTCGAGGTCGAGACGAGTTAAGTGGCGCGCAGAAAGCTGAGAGCGTGGGATTGGGGGCAAAGGACGATGTTGCGAGTCTACAAGACGGTAC